CTTGTCCTTTAGAAGTATGGAAGCTTAGTGAGCTGATTTTGACTTCTGTTGGTTAGGGAAAATCCTATCAGGATATAAAATGTGTTGTAATCAACACTATAGAAGGTGGAGAAAGTGATTATTTGCGGTCACTACAACTGAGGACTGCACAACCCTTAATGTCAGTGTCAAGTAGTATCCTGTGATCATAATATACAATTATTGATTGAGCACCACATCCTTATTAACGATTCATAGGACCTTGAATCACCCTATTAGTGGTGTCGTATGTGGTCATATTGATTGTGGATAAAGAGAGATATGGTGAATATCAAGGGTCCCGTTTGCCTCCACAGTAATGCACCTGACCATGAATGTACCTTAAGGTAACATTTGATCAGTGTAATAAAGTGATCAGGTCATGGTTGGGTTGTAATTATAGCTTTGTCTCAGCTATAACATGATGTGTTGTGTACCACCATTTTTAAAACAGGGGAAGATCATGAAGTCAAGGCCAAGACATCAATCAATAAAATCATTGTCTATTTTGGTAAACAAGAAACATGAAAGTCATTATACTTTATTATAAAAACTGGTCAAAGTTTGAGGTAATCACAGAGACAATAAAAGTAAGACAATACTTTATTATAAAAACTGGTCAAAGTTTGTGGTAATCACAGGGACAATAAAAGGAAGTTTGAGATAATCACAGGCAAAATGAGAGAAAGGCACAAATCTTATAAGAAATTTCCATCAATGTTTTGAAATCATGGTATTGTTCTTTCTGATGTGATTGTTGGTGATGTTCAATATACTACATATGTATGCATATGTTATTGTTATTTTTCACTGCATGCACATTGCTCACTTACATATGGTAAAAATATATCACTGGATTTGATGGGAAGGATATTAACCAAGAATGTGTAATAATGATAAGGACAACACTAAATTAACTTGTATCTGATCAGGAATGTTTTTATATCTCTGTTTAGAGGGCAAATAGAGTCATCACCTCAGTGTGTTACTTATAGATATATCATTTTCACCTAGATATTATGAGGCAAGCCATCTGGGAAACTTATAAAGTGTTATCCTAAGGATTGAGGTGTCTACACCATGCACAGAGAATACATGTTTATTTTTCTTTCACATTTTAAATTGATGAACACTTTTCGACCTTTTCACCAAAATATTACAAATTGCACACACATATATATATATATATATATGTGTGGAGTTCATGAAAATCTGCCATTATTTAATTCTGATAAAGCAATGACCAGTAGTTAATGTGTCATAGATGTAATAGCTGTCTTTCTCTCGGTAGTTTAAGACAGAATGATCTTTTCATAATCAGAGACAGGAACACAGCAGTGAAAAAATTGGAGCAAAATAGACTCATACTACCATTTTTCAGGGTTGAAACATGTTGTTCTATACCATATATCTGTTAAATCAGATATCTCATGCAGATTGAAACACTGTTCAAAGTTGTTCTATATTTCACATATCAGTTCCTTGGATTGAAATACTTTCAAAGTTATTCTTGACAATATATATCAGTTCATAGGACTGAAATGCTGTTAAAGTTGTATTAGATCTGACACCTGTCAGTTCCTGATGTAGACATGTCCTGAAAGTTGTTCCAGGACCTTACACCTATCAATTTCAAGGGTTGAAATGTTATCAGAATTGTTCTACTTATTACACTTGCCAGTCCCAAGGGATGAAACACAGTTAACATTGTTCTAGATATTACATGTTTCAGTTTCTGTAGGGTTGAAACTCTGTCAAAGATTATCGAGATCTAGTATGCCTATATATCTACTGGTCTCAAAAGTTGAAATCCCTCCTAGATATTTTAGACGTTGTGCTTACCAGACACAAATATTGAAACATTGGCCAAGATGTTGTGATAGTCATTACAGCTAGCCAGACCTGGTTTATATTGTTTTCAGAAACATAATGAGTTTTGTAAAAGTCATTCTATTTCCATATGGTTGAAATATGATTGAACCTATAACCTTCACAAATATATACATCAAGAGAGCAGTAGACTTTTGGCTGTAATACTATTGTATGTTATATTATATTGTTGACCTGAACACGTGTATAGAAATGTTTCCTGACAATGTTTACACATATTCTGGCTGTAGTTTTATTGTCTCCTTCATAATGACAAGCAAATATAGGATGTCATCGGGGTCGTAATATAAACAGAGTGAATGCTAATAAATGTTGATAGCTGTCTGGATTTGGTCATAAAGTCGTCATTTTGGTCATGTTTTCGTCTTGAAAGACTAGCACAGTATAGAACCAAGTGAATGGGTGACTGAATATGGCCAGTATGATAAGGAAAGTGATAATTGTTAACAGGGAGATTGTGTTGCCAGAAGTAGATTTGTAGTTGGACCTGAGCTTTGGCTGATTCAGTTTTCTAAATTCTTAATGAATTCGTTCTTTTCAGCTTTTTTTGTACAACTGCAAAATGAATTTAGTTTTGATGAACAATTTTGTTTGATCAGATAAAGGTCATTACACATGTAATGAATTTAACAAGCAGCAGCAATAAAGATATGTGGAGGATGTATCAGTTGGTTATCAGAGCTATCTGATCAATAGGACTGGTTTGGGTTTTGTATATATATCTGGACCAGGGATACCAATATTTGGTTCATTCCATGCCCACACACTATAACAAGAGAGTGGTTAACCATAGGTTGGTAAAATGGTTTTATTTACAGTACACAAATGACATTTCTATTTACAATTCAGAAAAGAAAATTGACTACTTTAAATTGAAAATTGTGAAGTTTTATTTTGGATAGCTGATCATGTTGTAGTGTGTTAATTACCAATGTGTAAACAGGAAAGTATCTCGGATCACTATGTAATCCTTATACATGGGCAGTATCTATATCAGGTTTAGCTACCTCCACTTTTCAGAAAATTATGTCCTTTTTGGGAACGGCAGGGATGGGTTGAGGGGAAGGGTACGAGTTGGCCCCCGGAGGACAGTTCTAGTTTCTAAATGTATTTAAGATTTGTAATATTGATTACACTACATTGCTGATATTGCATTTTTTCATCGTTAGCTGTGTCATACTCTACTTTCTACTGAGTTGTATCCTACATTATTTTATTTAAGAATGATAATTAGATTTAAATGTAATTTCACACAAGTATGTAAGGAATGGACTACACTGTGTTAAGTTTGGAGATGAGTGTAATTTACATCTAATTAATGTAATAATGAATTCAGGATGTCAATATCCATAAATAGATATTGTAAACTTGTGTATGTGTGGCTTTTTTTTATTTGATAATTAAAGATTTTGTAGTTTTATCAAAACTTTGCAGGAAAACATGATATATTCTCCATGTAAGTCATGAACATTACTTTAATTGGTTGAGCAGAATTCATTACCATGTTTTGGCTTTCTATTATCATATGATGGATTGTTTAAATTCTTTGTGGTCATTTGTCATTATGACAGTGCATGTAATTAGGGGAACGAGAAGTTTGGTGCTACGAAATTTCTCTGAAACATTCACATGTATCGTGAATGAAGTATGTTAATTTTCTTTCTTGTTAAATACAGTAAAATGCTTCAGGAATAATTGAGAGTTAAATAAAGTGAAAAATTAAGGATATTCCTGCTGTTTTGGGGTGGAAGGAATGTTTATATTGATATGGACTGATGTTTAAGTGTGATGTTCTGTTCTTTAGTAAACACCAGGAATGTTGTAACGCAAACTTGATTCCGAGAGCTAAATCAATATATAGAATCCACATTCTACAGCAACTAACAAACTGCATTAGAGCCATCTGCTCACACTTGTAATCAAGATGGTGAATTCTAGAATTATTGACAATTAGAGGTGACCTTGAAAAGTCCTAAAACAAACCTGTCACATTTGACATTCTTTTTACGTCATTTGTCAGAATAACTCTCCTCATAGCAACATGTAAATAGCATTCAGATAGATTATTTACATCAGAAGTTGGAGGTCAAATGTCTGCAGTTCTTGGTTAGCATGGACTTAAACAAATGATATTTAAACTGATAAATACCACTTGATAAAATTTTATGAATTTGTTTTTTTGTATGAGTAAAAGAACAACACGTTTGTTCTTAAACACAAACTTAACTTCACCTACGACATTAGTGATAATTTGTGTATAATCTACATGTACCTGTTTTTATGTCACAAAAGTTCAAAGGACAAAACATACTGAATTAGACTGAACATAATTTGATGAATTTTCACATCTGTAGAGCTTTAAATAAGGCAAAATATGACACTATCCTTCTACTCAATAATTCAAATATACAGAAAGTCAAGTTCATATAATAAGGTATCTTGGTCAAAATGTCAGATAACTAATTCTTGCCTCGTCTGTGGATTCAGTTATTAAGTCCCAAATTGACTCCTAGTCTGGTCATTATCACTTAATTCAAACAAAAACAACCCCCAAAAGACAAGGGGGAAAAAGTGAATGGTGGAGCAAGGTTTTCTTTCATATCTTTAATATGAATTCATTGGACCTGGTTAAATTGCTGGTGGACAGACAGCTAGTAGTTATTTTGGGCATTCTGTAGAGTTCTATAGTATGGAAGTTTCAGGTTAGTTCCTTTTTTGTCTATCTATTAAATATTATCAAGAAAAAATAAGTCCATTGGTTCTCTTATGTACTAGGTAGGTAATCAGTATGCATGTTTATCAAATGAGAAGCATAACGTTTTATCTCATCAAAAACATAACCACCATACTCTGAAGTTGTATTCTTCTTTTTTACCTCATTTTGCAAATATTTAGTACAAAATGATCCTCTTTTGTATGTTCTGTGTTTTCTAATTTTCTTTAAAGGATAGATGGATAGTTGCCAAGGGCAGGCAATCCTAGTTTCTGATTTTCTTGAAAGGAGAGATGGATAGTTGCCAGGGGCAGGCAATCCTAGTTTCTGATGGACTAAATATTGTTGAATAACTTTGAGTTTGTTTGTTTACATACAGGTGGTGCCTATTTCATGATATCACGAAGTCTAGGACCAGAATTCGGGGGTGCCATAGGTTTGGTGTTTTCTGTAGCCAATGCTGTGGCGGTGGCCATGTACGTGGTTGGCTTTGCAGAAACTGTCAGAGACATCCTCAAGGTAACTCTTAATACCAACTTCTAAATGCAGAGAAAGCAAGTCTTTTAAACTGAGATTAAACTTTTAAGATATTTCCATTTGATGATAAATATTTCCGTTACATGTAATGACAGCTATAAGATTATGTAATGTTACAGTTTAACATGTAATAGGTTTGTTTTTGATGTGTTCTGTAACAACAGATTAGAAATAAGTATGTAATCTTTCCTCGACATCATAGATAACAAGCCAATGTGTAATCTTATATAATCCTTACTAATGTTATTCCAGCTATTAACCTTCAACTGATCTTCAAAGGCTAACATAATCTTCCAAGTGACCTAAGGTCAGGAGTGGGCATATTACAGAATAATAGCATTTGTTACTGTTGACTTTTCTGCAGAAATCCAATAGATATGTGTTGGCCTATTGCCAGACATGGGCTTATTGTTGGATAAGTACTATATAAATCTGTTTGTATTCCACATCTGTGTCCCATCAATCTTTATGTTTACATAGAGCTGTGAAGTAGCTAGATTGCAAGTCATCGGAAGGATGTTCTAAAACTCGACCATCAATCTTAAAAAGTATTATTTCTTTTTTTTATTTTCCATTTTAGGTAAAATTGATTACCTAAAAAACCAGTCAAATCCTGGTTTCTGAATGGCAGATTGTGTCATAAATTGTTACAATTTACTGCTGATAAAAACAGACTGTACATAATCACTGTCTAGTCATATGAATTGACATGAGAGGAAATTTGCATTAAGGAAATGTTGTTTTCAGATCTGACTTCCACTGTTTTCAAGATTCATATGACACAATCAGAACAAAATCTGTCTCTGGCATTTAAACATTCCATTTAATTAACTTCTTCTCAATAACCAACAGACAAAATGTCGTGATATTTGGCTGGTGGCTCCATAGGATGAAGCTTGACAAAGTTGGGGAAAAGAAGTTACCTTCACCCTTACTCAAGATCACAGGGATCAAATTTGTCAAAACCTTCTAACAACTTCTTCTTATTAATCAAAAGATACAGAGGCAACATATTTTGCTGATAGGTTTTTAGGATAAAGCCTGACAAAGTTTGCAAAAAAGATCTAACCTTGATCCATATTCAAGGTCACAGGGGTCAAATCAGTTAAACCTTAAAATAACTTTTTCTGACCAATCAAAAGGGCCAGAAGTATGATATTTGGGTAATAGACTTCCAGGATGATGGGTTGGTAGGTCTCTGTGATAAAGCTGCCTGACGAAGTTTGCTAAAAAGAAATGACCTTAAACCATATTCAAGGTCACAGGGGTCAAATTGTCAAAACCAGTAAAAGACTTCTTCTGGTAAACCAAAAGTCTGAGAAGCAGGATATTGGGTGTAAAGGATTTTCTAGGTCAAATTTCAAGAAAAGAAAAAAATAACATTACCTTTTATCCAGGTCACTGTTTAGAGTTGAGTGTAAGAAACTCTTTGTTATAGAAATTGGTTAAAATTGCTTGGATGTGCCTAATCTGAGTGCCAATGGTGGATGCATTTGTAATAAGAACAGAATCTATGTTTGATGAACATTGAACGCCAGTGAGTAATACAGGCCCATTAGGCCTCTTGTTTTATTCTTTGTATAGACTAGTTAACCCCTTCAACAAGAACTGAAATCTGCACCAGAACAACACCAGTTCCAGGAAAACCCTAGCTACTGGCAGACAGAATCATTAGTGATCAGGAACTTATTAGATTAACAGATCATTGGGCTTATTGATTTTCCTTAATTTCTGTTACTGTAGGTAAACAACGCCCTAATGGTTGATGAAGAAAATGACATCCGTATCATTGGTGTGTTAACCATTACCTTGTTGCTGTTCATAGCAATTATAGGCATGGAATGGGAGGCGAGGGTATGTGTTAATGACCAACATTTTTATACCTTGTGCCAGTAACAGATAAAATTTTCAATTTATTTTGACTCTATAAATGACAATTTTCATATTATTACAGATGATGTAAACTAAAAAATATGAAGAAAATAAACAAGAAAAGAAAAGGCTTTGAATGTATTTCAGTATCACTTTTGTGTTAGAAATCTATTTGTAGAACAGTATTATTTTGTTGATATAATAATATTACAGTATTGTTTAGGTTTTATGAGTATATTACCATATATTCTTTATGCTGGAAGAGTATCACAGTATAACAGTATTACTTTTTTTACTAGAGTGACAAAACTAGACGAGTGTGAATTTTATTACTGCATATGTATGTATATGGGTGAAACAGTCTAATTTTCAGGTTTTTTAGCCATCAGCTAGTGCTTGATTGTTCTTTTTAAAGCTAAAACAGGATTGTTTTTATGTTTTTCAGTTACAAAAAATCTGCATAGTTTCTTAAAATACATTTGCTTCTCTATTTCAGGCCCAGGTGATTTTGTTAGCGCTTTTGTTAGTTGCTATAGCTAATTTTATTATAGGAACATTAATACCCACAACTCCTGAAAAAGTTTCTAAAGGAATTGTTGGTTATAAAGGTAAGACCTTTTTCTGTTCTGTTCTTCCTGATACCACAAGGCTAGAAGTATTCGCTATCTGAGCTTTATTTGCTTGAATTATGGCATGTACTGTTATTATAATACCTATCAGTAGTGATATAAACGGCCAGTTTACTGAAAACCAACCTTGTATATTATATGTCTATGTTTCCAAGTCTGCCATGAGGTGAGATTTAACTCTGTGCAGAGTTCAAGTTGAATGAACTTCTCTAACAATTTTTTTTTCCAGGTGAAGTTTTTGTGGACAATTTAGGGCCAAAATTTTCTGAAGGGGAAAGTTTTTTCTCAGTTTTTGCTGTATTTTTCCCTGCTGCTACGGGTATTTTAGCTGGGGCAAATATCTCAGGTGATTTAAAGGTAAGATGTACTCAGGGTCATCACAAGATTTAATATTTCAATTCATGAACTTGTAAACAATATGTCAGTCTTATTTGGCAAATAAAGCAAAGTAAGGACATTTGTATATTGAATATTTTGCTTCATTTTTGTGCTTTGTATTGTTATATCTTGGTTTTGTTTTTGGGGAAAAAAAGATAGATAAGTTTGTTTTGATCAAATTTTACAGAATGCACAGAAAGACATTCCAAAGGGAACCTTTTATTCTATACTTATATCGACGATTGTGTACATTGGAATAGCATGGATACTTGGTGCTACAATCATGCGCGAAGCATCAGGTTATGCTCTGGCGGCAGTTCAGTCAGCTATAGCTGCCAATGTTAGTGCTAATAGTACCTATCAGTCCAACCATACCATGGTAGAGACACTGCAGCCCAGCGCCTTCAGTTTGGCTGGAAACTGCAGTCTGGGAAATGATGGCCAGTGTGAATATGGTCTTCTCCACGATTATCGGGTATGTTGTTTACAATATATTAATGGTGACATTGACCTCAGATAACTCATTTAAACATTGCAAAATTGGAAATTTTGTTATCAGAAATGTTATATACAATATTTATTTCGATGATTGAAGGTTATTTATTGATTTTAGAAAAATTATATATATCTTGATTCAGATGATAAATGAGTAAAAGTGTTTTGTAGAAAAAATTCTATTTCAGCTGTACTTTGTGTAAAACATTTAACCAGTTTCATTAATTCAGATGTCATTATCCTATATTTTCTGTAAATAGGCAATGGAAATAGCATCAGGATGGGGTCCCATTGTCACTGTTGGAATATTTTCTGCCACACTTTCATCTGCACTTGCCAGTCTTGTTTCTGCTCCTAAAGTCTTCCAGGTACAGTTATTATATCGATAAGATTGATGCAAGACAAATGATAGAAATGTATCTGTTATTGCGTTGTCTTTCTTCTTTTTTAAATGAAATTTTTAGATGTGCTATTAAGCAATAGCTCTAATCTCTCTTGTATTAGACATGCTATTTTTTTTCATTCACAGGCAGTTTGCAAAGACAAAATATTCCCGAAAATCCATTTCTTTGCCAAAGGTTACGGTGCCAGTGATAACCCAAGGCGAGCCTACTTGTTAGCTTATTTTATAGGTGTAGCATTCATAGCTATTGGTAAGTGGAAGTTTGGTCGTGAGGGCTGTGTTGCTTTTCCTTATACTTTACAGAGTATTGAGTTTGTGTTTTGTGAGATTGTACAAAAAACACACAAGTGAATAGCACCTCATAATGCTAATTCAGAATAAGATACAGTGAGGCTTAATGTTTGAATGTAACTGCGTCATAGAGCTTTAAATAAATAGTGGTTTAGAATCATATAAACATAATGGAGCTACACAATACATGCATACATTGTGATGGAGATACTAAAATCATTACATACATTTAATTTAGCTTTAAAAATGACTTTGGCTGAAATGTAAATAGGATAAGTTAATTGATTGTGTATCCATTTGAAGGAAGCATTGATGATTGTAAGAAATACTACAGTTATGTAAGCAAGAAAGATACAAAAATGTATGTAGATTAGTAAATGAGATTAACATAGGTAAATAATTTGCTGGTTTGTGTGTTTATATCATTTATTACATAACTACCCTGTTATTCATGTAATAACTCCCATTTCATAAATATTTATTAAACATATGAAATATGGCCTAAAGGAGCTAAAGGGTACTACTCTTTGGGATGTCTAAACTTGGTCTGTCATATGCAATGTGTTGTCACCAAATAAAGAGATATGGAGTGAAAAGATCACCCATTTATATTATGTACCAGTCTTATAAATTGCTGTTATCACAAATGTTGCATAAGTAACCAAGTTATGTGATAAACATTGTCCTGCTTTCATTTCCATTTCAAGTGAGATTTATGATTTTTTTAATTTGCCTTGCCAGAGGCTCCGTAAAGTGAAAAATTCTGAGCCCTATCTCGTAAATCTCACATGAGTGAACCCTCCTGTATAATCCTGTATATTTAGATAGATGATTTGGTGTTTTGTGTTTGAATTTTTGTGGTTTTCTTGTGTGTCTTCTTACCTGATTTTCTGCTTCCTGTCGACAGGTGATTTGAATTCTATTGCCCCCATCATATCTAATTTCTTCCTGATGTCCTATGCCCTCATCAACTATTCCTGTTTTGATGCCTCGCTTGCCAGGTCACCAGGTAACCAGACTTCACTAACATTCACTTCCTGTTTGTTATGTAATGTTTCAGTAAAACATCTGAGAAAATGGCAGAAATTATCCGCAACATATTTCTTACAATTTAATTGATGTAACATCCAAAGCAAACACTGAATGCCATTTGCCATAATGATAAAAATTCTGGATTTATAAACATCTTTTAGAGTCCTGACATATGGTTAATTTCACCTTGAAATCTTAATGCAAATTGAACACATTGACAAATAGTTCTCACTTAGATTTTGTCTGAATTTAGCATGTTTCCTGGTAGTGAGACATTGGATACAAAGAAGTTGTATGAATTGAGACTGTTTTAAATAAAATGAGCTTTTCTGAATTAACTTGATTTATGCCAATAACAGCACTTGGATGAGTGTTGGTAATTAGATATAGTTAACAATACTATTTTGTGTGTTATGACTGAGGTTTGGTAAAGGTCCATATTTCATATTCCAGTTTAAAAAAAAAATAATGAGAAAGTCATGTTTGGAAATTAAACCTAACTGGTATTTGATTGAATTGAAATACTTCCACAGCTTGTTTTGTTAATTGATAATGGATGTATACATCTTCGTTATATTCCAGGATGGCGTCCAGCATTTAAATACTACTTTATGTGGTTGAGTCTCCTCGGTGCCTTAGTGTGTATAGCTGTGATGTTTATTATCAACTGGTGGACAGCCTTAATAACTTTTGCTGTGATAGCTTTTCTCTTTGTATATGTACACTACACCAAACCAGGTAACTTAAACACAGGCTGTTTCTTGTTACACAACATGTGAAATTATAAACTATAAAGGGATGTAAAAGAGGTTTTTACATGATATGTGGTACAAAGTCTAAAAATATATAGAGCTGGAAATATGTAGAGTTGGTAAATACTATTTTTAGTAACAAATCAGTGCTGTATTATTGTTTAATTTCATAGACCAAATATTTCACCATTGTTCTGGTTGGGGTTAGTTCATAGGAATTACATTTCAGTCAACACCTTTTTCATTAAGCAGTAAACAGGAGGGTATGTCCATACGTTAGTGTCAAATTTGCGAGGTAGATAATTCAAATTATTAAAAATATTTTGATTGTCTACAAGTAATAAAAGATTTCCATGGTATGTTATTGCATGCTATCTTTAATGATTATAGTGTTAGTCAATCTCCTGGGAATATAACCAATATTATACAGTATTCGGTTGAATGATGCAGACTCAATGTGCCATTGTTAAATCCTCAAGACATACATAGACAGTTTACCCCTGCTTGTCAAGTTACTTGTTATTTTCTTAAGACTTAATGTAAAAAAATACTGTCTCCGATATCTGAGATTTGACATTGCTCACAACCCCGAAATTTCACAGTTGAATTGAATACTTGAACACTTTTTTCATATTAAAACTTAAATATATCACGAAACCAAACCATTCTGCTTTGACATTTTTTTTTCCAAGTCATACGCTCTTTGAACATATCAAAGATTAATTAATATTTATTTAACCAGTTCAACTGGTTCATCTATGTCTATGACTGAGATTATTTACCATTGTAAAAGAAAAATTTATTCAATAAATCTATTTAATAAATGGAAATCATAGAATCAGTATATGGAATTAATACATCATCTGGTTAACAGGTTGATTGATAGTTGCCAGTAAACATCATGGTATATAGAATAAATACATCTGGTTAACAGGTTGATTGATAGTTGCCAGTAAACACCATGGTATATAGAATTAATACATCATCTGGTTAACAGGTTGATTGATAGTTGCCAGTAAACACCATGGTATATAGAATTAATACGTCATCTGTTTAACAGGTATTTTAATAGATTGGTAGTTACTGGTAAACACCATAGTATATGGAAATGATAGATCAGTTGGTTAATTGATTGGAAGTTGCTACTCAAAACCATTTGTGTATGATGTATTGAATCATGATTTCAGATGTGAATTGGGGCTCCTCTACCCAGGCTCATGTGTATAAAAGTGCTCTCCAGTCAGCTCTTAAACTCCTTGCCGTAGAGGATCATATCAAAAACTTTCGGCCACAGATTTTGGTGCTAACAGGCTTACCTTCAAGTCGTCCGGCCCTGGTGGATTTTGTGTACACCCTGACAAGGAAAATCAGTCTGATGATGTGTGGCCACATTCTCATTGTAAGTGGATAAGCACATTTTAACAACATTGGACAGCAATACCCACACTTCTGGTGAGGGTAAGATTTCTGTATCTTGCTGGGGTAAAGACAGCCTGCAGACACAGAACATAAGCACATGCTAAACAGGAAGTTGTAAATTTGAGACATGGCTGACTGATATTGACAGTTTGAGATAAGTTAAATATAATTGTATCACAGTTTCTGATGATCTTCAATTATTCAAAACAGTTTATGACAAAGAGTTATCATTATGATTGTCTTTGAACAATGTATAAGATCGATTACAAATTGGTCATAATAAAAACAAAATTTCGTATACTCCTGAGTTTGTTTCCACATTTGTCACCATATATTTGTCTTTTTATTCTATTTCTGGTATGTTTGAGATAGGAGGTAGAAAAAGAATCATACCTCAGTTTAAGGTTAGGACAAAGAAATATCCACCCTCGGAGGAGATTCCAGATAGTCTAACTTTTGGCAATGCCTCTGGTTAGACAATTATTAATTTCCTCCTCGGGTAGAGATACTTAATGACTGTTTCTGTATTTTAACATTTTAGGAAATTTTCCAAAAATAAACTGACCAAAATTTTTCAATAAAATAGTTCCTGCAGTGTTCACTTGAATAGTGAATCTGGTAGTGATATGTATAGTTTGATGTTTTAGGGAAACCAGAGTGATTGTCTACGTGAGATCAACAAGAACAAGTCTGGCTCTGTCTACCAATGGTTCAAACAGCGCAAGGTCAAATCTTTCTACAGTGTCACCTCGTCACCAACATTCAGGCAGGGCGCACAGAGCATCATGCAGGTAAAGACAGGACACCAAGTATCATGTGTAAAATGTTATACACTGTTCGGAGATCAATATGTTTATCAGAAGCCTAACACATGTAGGTAAAGGGTCACAAAATGCCAGAATTGACCCAGATGTCGAAAATGGTCCTGAAGATTCACACTTTAATTCTACAAAAGAATAAGTTCAGTAAAAAGGAAACTTCAGAATATTCAGAATTTGTTATTTCTTTTTTGCATAGTATGTGTATTTGTTTCTTCAGAATGTTGGAGTAGGGAAGCTGAGACCTAATATTTTAGTGATGGGCTTCAAGTCTGATTGGCGAACCACCCATCATGAGGAAGTGGATGGCTACTTTAATACCATACAGTCAGTATCTGATATGTCCTCAATGCCCTGTATAATAATTAGTCAGGAGATCTGACATTGGTTTTCTACAACATGGTCACTTATATATCCCACTGGCTAAAAGATTCTTGCATGTGCCAGGGAAATCTCAACAAAACATGGAAATTATATTTAAAATAAGGACATGATGTTCAGCTTAAGTGACATTTCCGTTGTGCTGTATGGTATATCTTAACATGAATTATGTAGGTAATACCTAGGTAGTACATGCAGATGTAGGCAAAATAATATGAAAGAAGACTACTGAAATAGAATTAGCATTTTTAATGTGGTAGATCATGAAAGTAATGTAAATACAGATTACAGAGAGGAAGAGCTTGAGCTTATAGTCGGTAGGTGTGTGACATCACTCTCTCTGTCAATTACCATACAATGTTTTCTAATTCAGAGTTGATAAGAAAACGTCCATCTGATTGGCCATTAATTACACATATACTCCTCTACCGTAGTTAAGATAGATAATGAATGCTTCCTGATGTAGTGTTTATCAGTGATAAAAGTCTGATAGATAGAAATAACTGTAATAAAAAGATAGTATCATTTCTCTCTTCATTTTAGTCATTTCATCACACTGGTACGATTTCGGAACATACTGGTATTTCATACATTATTTTTCAATAATCACGAGAATTTCTTCACCTACCATTTTTTTCATGTTCTTTGTCATTAACTGCATTCTCTTTGTATTCCCTTGATATATACCTGATAAAAGGTTGAACACACTTGTCACTATAACAACATCCTGTCATCACAAAATCACACATCTGGAATTCAGAAACCACCTTCACATTATTTAGTCCATGTTTTCACATTTTTCAATTGAATTAAAAAATCCTTTTCTTCATGTTAATTTTCATTCCCTTTGAATTGATATTTGAATCCAAGAAATATTGTATATCATATTTTTTTGAAACCAGCAACAAACTAGTACTCGTTCTCTAACCTTGTAAATGCTTTGTAATACTACACATACCTCTCAAAAGTTTATTTGGTATTTGATAATAAAACAAAATGTTTCATGGATTATGATTGAAGTTAAGCTGGAAAAAATGGTAGTTTTGGTCATTGGTTTCTGTAAAGACTGTTACTGAACTATTGGCAATAATAGTGAGTTATCTTGTAATTTTTGTATAAATCTGATATTGATGTTACAGTGACGCCTTTGACCTGGAGTTTGGTGTTGGTATATTGAGAGTGGCTGGAGGATTCTTTAATGAGCCCAATCAGAATGACTCTGGTCATGAGTCTCTAGTTCAGCATAAACTTGATGGTAAGTGTATAAGTCAGGAAATACTTTCACCTACTAATACATTGACTCTGTTTTAAGAAATCTTTTTCTCTTAACTTTAGTCTGGAGAAATCTATAGCATGTGTATTTTGGTGTTTTAACTGACATGTTTTGGTCCTGCAGCTGCCTCTCCTCAACTCTTGCATAGCAGCTGTTGTGGACCACACATGACAAGTATACAGACTTTTTAAAATGTTTGTGCATGACAAGCTGAGTGTTGTATTTTATCTGTCAGTAATCTGTCGCATTATTCATGTATTTGCTTTTCAATATCTTAATTTATTTGCTCATAACTTCTTTCCTTTGTTTCACTGTAAAATTGTTTGATTTTTTTGTGAGTTTTCAGTTTTCATAAACAGAAAATTCTATTGCTAGCATGATTTGACAGAGTACCATAACCGTTTGATATGCTATTGGTTATTTGTCTATAGTCACGCAGTAGACACATAACAAGTTACACTGTCACACTTTTATCATTTATAAACAATGATACAGATACAATGATGCTTTTGTCTTTCTATTGTCATATAGTACTTATTGGAAAAGTAATACAAATATTAAAAATCATTATTACCTCTTTTAAATGTTTGAATTAAGTATTCCACAGTATCTGTTGTTCTGAGTATACCATAAGATTAAAAATCTCATGCATTGTGAATTTTACTTGCTGTTACTGTACAAATGCTGTAATATTGCATATCATTAGAAGAGCATTTTGCTCTCTTGAATGAGGGCAGGTTAATTATTACAGCCAATATAATTAGACAGGTGCCTGTCTTATATACCTAGGTAGTTAACCGATGTGAGATGTGAAATTGATATGTGATGAATGTCGGCTTTACATGAAACTATTCTTGACATGATGGGAGTTTCCATATATGTTATGAAATGGGATACTATTTATCAGATTATATGTGGTTACAGCTGACGAGGAGGAAGTCCCGTCTTTCCCCAGTACCCCGACCATGCTACGTAAACACAGCCGATCATCTGAGGGCTCCATTCCTGAAAATAGTGGAGATATACCAGGGAGGGATGATAGCCATCATCTGCTGGTCACAGAAAGTTTGATCAAACAGCAAGATAGGTTTGCCAAGAAACAGAAAGGAACGATAGATGTCTGGTGGCTGTTTGATGATGGAGGTAAGGAACACTAAATCAGGATTAGTTTTCTGTATCACAATATTTCCCTGATAATGTTATTTTCACAATCAGAAAAAGTTACACAGCATTATATTTCTTGAAGATCCTTTTGTTCCAAGAATATTAAGACCAAAGAAATATTTATCTTTGAGAGGCATAGCATTAACATAACCTTGACATTTCAGGTCTTACCTTGTTGATTCCTTATATCCTAACAACGAAGCTATATTGGGGAAACTGTCGACTGAGAATATTCATTGCTGGTACAAAGAGGGGCGAGATTGACAGAGAACAGAGGCAGTGAGTATTAGCTAGGTTTTCTGGATTACCGTATTATCAATGACTTTTGAATCAGAATTGAGAAAAAAAAAATTGAAAAAATGATTTCTTCCTTTTCTTTAAAGTTTCTCTTAAAATAGAGTTTCTGTTGCCATATTGATAACCTTTCTTAGTTATAGTTTTTGTTGCCTTATTTAACAAGTACCTCTTATTTTCAGAATGGCCACATTATTAAGTAAATTCCGAATTGAATGTAAGGAAATCACTGTAGTAGCTGACATTGGCAAATCTCCAGAGAAAAAGAGGTAAGAAATTAATTTAAACTGTTTAAAATTAGGTTTTCAGTTAGAGTAAGAAAGCATCTCTTTATCTGGTTCTTATTTACTATTTACATCACCTATAGTGTTGACCTATGACAGTTGATTGGATATGATTTCGTGAAAGATATTTATTACTGCCAGATGAATTGACAACACAGGGTTTAAAGTGATACCGTTTGATAAAACTCTCGGGTCGTCATATGGTCACCATTGTGATCTCATAATTTTCTCAATATGTGATGTGAATACAGATCAGTTAAATGTTTGTAAGTTGGTCTGTCTATTTCATTGTTATAAACCTCATTCTGGTTTGAAATTGTGACATAATGTTATTCATTTGACAGAGATGTACATAGAGTGTACCTTTGATGAGGTAGAAGATGCTTACCCTTCTCGTATTTTTCAAGGTTCTACATGTAAATGATATGGTCAAATTTGAGTTTAAAGTACAATAAAGTGAGCATGTCAATATTTTCTTGTTGTAACCAAGAGAGACGAATCATTGTAAAGTCAAAAGGTGAAGTGGTGAACCTCATAAATACTAAGCATCTTTGATGACTTCATATAGGGAGGTTGGTAGGAATCATATATGGTCATGTGATCAAAGGTTAAGTAAAGATTTTAATCCCCCACCTGGAATAAGAGGGGGCTATAGTTTTGTGTCAGTCCTTCTGCTATCTTGTCCTTATCTTTTACACAACTAATCTTGGGAAATTAATACTTAGGATATGGGTTCACTTTAGTGAGACTGTTTTTCTTGTATCAAAAGTAGGGCACTGTGACCTACATTTTGACCATAGACTTGCATCAAAGAAAAGATTTGTATTAATTGGCCCTATTTTCTGCATAACTTATCATAGGAACTTAATACTTAGGATATGGGTTCACCTTAGTGAGACAGTGCATCATCTATTAGAAGTAGATCACTCTGATAAATAAGATTTGACCTTTGACTTTTATCATAGAAAAAAGTTGTCCTGGCCTATCTCCTACAATACTATTCACTAGAACGTCTTTGTTTACGCATGAGTTCACTTGTAGTGCATTCTTTGTATAAAATTTTACATCTGATGGGAGACTGTAATTTGCCAAATTGTCTTTTATATCTTCTCACTGGAACAAGGACAAGTCAATTGACAAAATATCTCATTATTTGCACTTTTCTATTGAGTAAAATTAATGTTTTGATCACTTCCATATGCCTTTGTGTTATAGTGAGGTAGAGTTTGACAAATTACTGGAGGGATGGATGTTAGATGAGGAGAATGGAGAAACACAAGAAAAATATCCTTGGAAAATATCAGAGGAGGAAAAAGACTTGCTCCACGATAAAGTAAGATCACCAAAATATGTAAAATGTTGTTTAACAGTGTCATTTCTATATGGGTCATGAATTTGACCTCATTACCGACTGTAAACTGTAACAATATATATAAAATCATTTCTGATGTGACATTATTCTTTCTCATTGCTTTACCATATGTAAAAACTAATTTGTTCAATTTCAGACAAAGCGGAACATCAGACTTAAGGAGCTCCTAGTGAAACATTCAAGTGATGCATCATTGGTTGTCATGTACGTATGTCAAAGAGAGGGAGAGTAGGGGGAAAGGCCAAGATAAAAATAACAGCCTGGTAAAGGTGTAGAAATTCTCTTTTATAAGTCAAACAAAAATAACAAAAAATATTGTATTTATTCTACAGTCCTTAATTAGATTACCTTTTTTAACAGGAATAAACAGCAAGCTATGGTGTAAGAAAGATATATTGATTTTGATGTTTAATTAACTGTGTTTGCAGGACCCTGCCTATGCCAAGAAAGGGCACCTGTCCGACAGGTCTGTACATGGCTTGGCTGGATACTTTAACTCGTGACATGCCACCCATACTCTTAATCAGAGGCAACCAGTCCAGTGTGCTCACCTTCTACTCATAACATGATCAAGGTTAATATTCATCTCAGCACAGCTTCTGATCCACACAATGATGTTATGGAGTATTGCATCTGAAAACTAGAGAAAGGAACAAGCAATACTTGAAATGCTCTTTTACGAATCTCAAAATGATGCAGTTTGGTCATTAAGTCTATGTGTTGAGAGTAATGGAGGTACAGGGAAGATTAAGACATATTTGCCTGATAACATTGAGACTGATAAAAAGTTTTAATGTCTGTGAGATTGAACTGCTGAATGTTCTTCGTGAGATAGTTTGCTTAAAGCATACATACATGGGATTATTCTATTTTTGATTTTTCAAGATTTTCACATTCTTCTCTCAAATAGAGAAATAGATGTTTCACAAGTGTGGGAAGGATCGTATAAAAAAATCAGATATTTTACAAAACAAAAGATTTTTCCTGGAAGACAGGGGTTGTATGAAAACTACTGTATTAATGGTATGGTGCTGAACTATGGCCTAAATTTTGTTACATTTGTGATAAGTAAGGAAAGCTCCCTTGAGCTGAGACTTTAAGTAAAGAATAATGATGTACAGAGCAAGTAGTGACCTTATGGTATTGTAGTGATTTAATCTACTGTATTTGTGGGACTGGTGATGGGAGAGATGGGGCATACTGGTATATATTACCTGTATATGTGGGACTGGTGATGGGAGAGATGGGGCAAACTGGTATATATTACCTGTATATGTGGGACAAGTGATGGGAGAGATAGGACATACTGGTATATATTATCTGTATATGTGGGACAAGTGATGGGAGAGATAGGACATACTGGTATATATTATCTGTATATGTGGGGCTAGTGATGGGAGAGATGGGGCATACTGGTATATATTACCTGTATATGTGGGGCTAGTGATGGGAGAGATGGGACATACTGGTATATATCACCTGTATATGTGGGACTAGTGATGGGAGAGATGGGACATACTGGTATATATTACCTGTATATGTGGGACTAGAGACGGGAGAGATGGGACATGCTGGTGTATATTATACCAGGTATCTAATTTAGAAATAATGATATGAAATATGTAGATGTATTGTAAATATAAGTAGAGCTGTGATGAATAATTTTAGGTTGAGGTTGACCTTGTATATTCAGATGTTCCTGGTATTTATGAAATGTTTCGATTCTCTCCAGGAAATGCTTGATATAAGAAGTTGTTTTTGTGAAGGGTGTAACCTAGCTTATGCCTACCACATTTTATAGTTCATTTCTGTAGTGTTCATGAAGACGGGATTGACGAGGTTATATAATCTGATTGGGACAAAAGCAATATACTGGGTATTATCAGCAGAATTTAAAACTTTTTTAATGATGAGTGGAGACCTGTATTACTTGCACTTCCAATACTCTCTCTGTAAGCTAAGACATGTGTATTATAGAAATGTTTATAGTATATACATTTAGAACTGCCAGTCTACAGTTTCACTGTGTTCTGTTTAGCCCTGTAACAATTGGTCTGTGATATTTGGTAATTCTGGTAGAACATTTTTCGTGGTCTTTGTTCTTTATATGCAAACTTGTTCCTAATTAACATTTGATATGTCAATACTTGTACAAGATTTCACTTACGTTATCCACATGTATGAAATAAGCTGTTAATGTTATCTACATGTCTCAACTCAGCTGTTAATAAGCTCCTTTCACATGTGTTTTGATGCCAGTATCTGTATTTACTGATATGTTAATGAAGAAATAAATAATTATATTGTTAATTGTACCATCATAAATATTTTTGAGTAAAAAATATTACACTTTTGGTGATTTGTGATACATTGAAATGTACCAGTCTTTAGACAGGTATCCCCACATCCTGCCCATTTGTAATCAACTTCCACAAGCTATCCATCCAACCCTTGTTTTTATATTCTTGTAGCTATTTAACTAAAATTTGGCACAACAACTGATTATTTTTATAAATGTTTGCCAATTAAATCAGGAGTTCAAAAGTATTTTGGAAGAATTATAAAACAATTTTTTTTAAGGTGTTTACAAATGATTCTATGATTTGAAGTTGAAACCTAAATCTTATTATAAAAAGTGACAGAACAGAAAAAAAATTATGATTTTGGAAAAAGTGTTAATTAAATCATTATGTACACATGTTGATGAATGACCTGCAAATGCAGTTTTTTGTGAGAAGCCACTCTGTTGGAAAGACTTACAGGTGAGATGTAACCATTTACCTGTTACAAAGTCGACAAGCACACATGTGATCAGCTTAAACTCATTGTATTTGTTACTGCTAAATAGATGGTGATGATATTTTGTTAAATCCATATTTTTGAGGGATGTATGGGATATGTTGCATTTGAAAATATTTAACATGAATGTGTGCTTTTCATGGCAGAACGATTTTCAGTAATTGTCTGGTTAGAAAGCATTGACAGTTATGTAACCATTGTTATTGTTGTTTTACATTATAAATTTACAGACATGTTGAAGAATATATGTATTTGATAATTGTTCCAACCTAGAAGAAACTTTCTAATACACGTAACTGTGTTTGCTATTCGATTATTTCTTGCAGCACAGAGTACTCGATTGCCCAAATTCAGTTTCATACTTAGATGGATCACATATCATTCACTATTTTATATATTCCCACTGTTTCAATTTCAGCCCTGATAATGGTACAGTAATCGTATCCTTTACAAGGAACCCTATTACTCAACTTATCACAAATTTAAAGATGTAAGGTGCAATGAGTGTCTCCTGGGTATTATATACTTATAAACCGTATATCTCATCATTGTCATTAATAGGTGGCATCCTGGAGCTCATAGACTTCTGTCCTGTTTGGATGTTGAACATTGCCTGAACATTTATAATCTGTGTTTATAGATCTTGCCAGGAGTCTTAGTACTCAGGGTTACCCAAGTTTGTAACAATACTCTGAAAACCCTTACAATATTGAGTCGGCCAACTTCTTGTCTCCTTGCATAACCTATTAAAGGTGATTAAAAATGTTAACAAAAGGTTGTGCATTTTTTATATACAATATATGTATAGTTTTGTATGATGGATTTGTGTTCGCAAGTTTTATATTTTGTCATGTTTTCAACGATTGAAAAATGACCATGTTCTTTCTATTATTTGTCATTAGGGGTGCAGATTATGTTTGTAAAAAGTATTGCTTTATTTTTGTACATTGTTTATGATTGATGAAGATAATTTTCATGTGTAAATTGTGTAGCACTAGTATTGACATTGCTACCTAAATACAGAGCCTGTCTGCTGTCAGTTACATGTGTATAGGAGACAGCAGATTTTCATGTCTTCATTTACCTGCTTTCGTAATTACATCATTTTCATTGCCATGTCTAATAGTTATTTTCATTCTTTATAAAAGAATGCTTTAGGTGCTTTAATTTGCAATTTCAACTGAATGGAGGAAGAATCTGTAAAGTTGACCCACCAAAGTTTATTCATTTTCGAAAAATTTCAAGAAAAATACTTTCTAACTTTCTTTGTCATGTTGAATTGTATAAGTGAAGGATTTTTTTTGTCCCCCATATAAGCCACCAAAAACTACAGGTTGAACAGCAGTGATTTTGTTACAAATATATTTCAGAGGTCACAGAAGTCATTCCTACAATGAACGTAACAATAAAACAATGTTGATGGAAAAAAAAAGAATTGCAATAGTTCACATAGTTCACATTAGCATTTTCACTGTGAAGATGACTGCTACTATATCCTCTTGATTAGCTGAAAATGTGCATGCATTATCAACACCAATGAACAGCAATAGACCAAAACAGACCAAAAAGAAATCAGTTGTTCACAAAATCTCAAATAACACATTATATTTAGCCTACTATCATCAGATTGTGAGCAAATCAAATTGACCTTTGTCCAGCGTGTGGCATCCATCGACCATTCTTCCTTAAACAATTCTTGTTATCACTGTTTCTGTAGAAGCAGTGAATGGATCATTCTGAAATTTCATACGATGGTTTGCCTTGATTACTGGTAGTGTATATTCTATTTTTGGACATATCTGATCAACAAGATTGCTAACAGACAACCATCTTTGGTTTGACTGTCAAAAGTTGTTATCGCTATTTCTTGGGAAGTATTGGATGGATTACTTTCAAGTTTCATAAGTAGGCAACAATCTTGGATTTTGATGATGAAGGTTTGTTAACAGTATTTCTTGAGAAGTGCTTGATGTCTCTTTCTCAAATTTCACTTGTGGGTGTCCCTTGTTCCACAGTTGTGCCCTTCTGATTCTTGGACTGATCAGAAAAAAAAATGGCTGACATGCAGCCATCTTGGATTTGACAAGGCAGTGTTTTTTTTATGTCTATTTCTTGAAGTTCTGGATGAAGCGTTCTCAAATTTTATGTGTAGGTTCCCCTTGTGCCCATTTGATGTTGCAATTGATCTGAAAAGAAAATGGCCAACAGGTGACCATCTTGCATTATTAATGCTATTTCATTAAAGACTTTTCAAATTTCGTATAATTAATAGCAAAAACAGAGAAAAGGAAGGGATCCAACTTCAAAAGGACAAATTTAGATCAAATAATTATAGGCACCAAGATCCCCCTTGGATCATGTTTTTGTAGCAAATACATTACAACTATATAAGAGTAAACAAATTCAGTTTACTGCTTAATAACAGAAGTTGTTATACAGAAAATGTTAATATTATACAGTTGTCTTTTTTGAGGAAGCCATTGCTGAATTCATAAATTTCATGATTAATTTCAATCTTTAGAAATTTTGCTAGCCCTACTTGCATGTTTTACTTCATGAAATTTGCTTAAATAATGAGTATGAAAGTATTTTTTCATCTCCAATATAACAGCTAATTCTGTACAGACATCTTAAATCAGTTTCTTGCATATTAAAAGCATGTCATACAGTTGTATCTGAATCTTGATTAGTTGAACATCCAAGGTGACAATCTATCTGGTAACACTATCAAAACTTTTGACAAATGTTTTTTCATCCTCAGAATATTAGGGGTTTGAAAAATAAAGGACACTTATGTTGATAGCATCTTCCATCGTTATTTCTGTTCTTACAACATCACGGTAGAAAAATACATTGATACTTGAAATTCCTCAGCTGCTATTTATCAATGGTACCAACTTGAAATGCCTCGACTAACAAAATTGTAAAGTCACTCGACTAAAGCAAATAAAATTTGAGAAAAGTTCAGTTTTGGATCTATCTAAACAGGCAGCTTTTGTTATTGGAGTTATCAGAAATTTAGTCTACATATTGCATATTTACTGAATATTCAGTGCTTTATTTACCTCTTATGTCAGACTTACTTTAATCTTATAAAATTGTTTTTTTCATTTTGTTATTTAATTTTGAAGTTTTCAGTTAATGCATGTTTGCACTTTACAGCAGTAGTTTATGTAGATTTACCTCCCATAATGATTTTAGTCGACTTACCTCCATACGAAGAGACTTAAGTCAGAATTGGACATCTATGGTCAACATAGATTTACCTCCCTTGATATTTGAATCAAAATTTCAAAAACCATCTTTACTTGTTAAAATTTTGGTGTCTTCCATTATTTCTATTGAATAAGTTAAAAGTATCATTTATAATCAGGGCTATTTGACTTGATTTCTCTAACAGTTCTCAATCAGAATCCCACACAAAATTGTCTCATTCTGCAGTTGTGCATTTGTTTGATGTATCCACCATGAAATGGCTGGGGCATTGAGCCATCATAATTTTGTCTCCTTTTATTGGCCATTGGAGGAATAATATATTGAACATGTAACTGTACAATGAGAAGATGAGAGTAAGAAAGTCTAAAGTTTTTATTTGGTCTCGGTCTGCTTATGTTTTCCAGGGTTGTGGCCCTTGCGTTTAAAGTTCAATGAATTATCAGTTTCCACCCAATTTTTAAGACATGAAGAGGGATACTTCATTGTTTTTCTACCCAAATTTTACAGCAACCTATGTAAATTGAGAAAATATTCTGTTATCTTTGTAGTTTTCTTTAAAAGATATTCTTCAATTTTTTTTAATTTATATTTTTTTTCTTTCCATTTTGGAGAAATAGTGCAGTTTTACAATATGGAAAACAGCATGATTTTGGCTGTAAGCTGGGCAATAAAAGGACAAAAACAAGAAGAAAAAAATCCCTCTCTCTTGAATTGAAATTTGACATGCATTACCAGAAGATGCAGGTCAAGTTCACTTTTTGTTCCTTTTCCCCCCAGAGTTGTAGTCCTTGGAATAAGAATTGCTGAATGGGGAAATTTAACTGATATTTGATTATAAAAATCCCCATACCTCTCATTGGTTTGCTGGCATGAGATTCCTGTCACAATGACGCATCTTATCACAGCTATGGCCACCTATGCTTTTTCCTCTTCAAGTCTTTGACTTGCTAACAAGATTCCATTTCCTAGTATATATCTTTCAATTTGAAATTTTTGAATTATTGAGAAAACACAAAGTGACCAATGATTTTGATTATTAAAACAACAGGGATAAATCTTCTTTGATTGCTATTTACCGACATTTACCAAGTTTTAGTCACATATGTATATGGGTATGTTTTATTTGTTAGTGTATATTTAGTTATTTTATATCTCTTTACGTTATCAGTACACTACCTGGTATGTATGCAATTGTGCACCAACCTCATCAATTTGGGCAATTAACATGTTCAGCTTGATTTACAGGATTAATTCATTAAGTGATAGGTACACTGAATTAACCTCATCCTGTATCAATGCTCAACCATGGTATACTTACAAACCTCTTAATGGGATTTAGCTCTAGTTTGTTGTGAGAGCAGCATCCTAATAGAGTATTAAACATCTGTATTATATAAACATGAGAGATAAAGTGACCTATTACAGATAGTGTAAGAGTAAATGGTCACAACTGTGCACAATAAAAATAATGTTACATTTGAGACTTTAGTTTATCTTCTGTCAGCATTACCAGCCAACAATATGGGAAATATAATATTTAGTGGGATCAATACATCGATCCACAACATATGTTTTCATTTAACATTGCAGTGTAAGTTACAGTTATGCAGACAAAACATTCACAAGCAAATCCTCCACAAGTGATATTGATGTCCTGAAGATCCTTGATACATAGTGCCTGTGTCCCATGGTATGATACAACATCTGTCCTCTCCTTTAAACAGTCCCTATAATTTATATAAGATCCAGGATCCTGATATTTGGCCAGTAGGTACAATATACCTATCACGGGGTAATATAGCTAGTGTTCCAAGGATCAATAAATTGTCGAAAATTCAATGCATTTATCCGAAGAGTGATAAGGTCTGGAAGGAGAAAAATTAGGTGTTTTTGTTAGGTACACTAGCAGTACACATGTTTAGTCCACCATCTGATGCAGCACTATTCAGATCACCCTGCGTCCATTGTCTGGTGTTCCGTCCAAATATCCTTGCACAATTCTTGCTACCATTGTTTCTGGAGAAGCATTGGATAGATTTTTAAGAATTGGACAGATCCTTCTAGTATTTCCTGTTTCCCTTGGTCCCTTAGTCAGGGGAAAAAAGGCAGAAAGGTTACAATCTAAGACATAAAGCTTAATTGCTATTTCTTGAGAGGAAATAGTGTTGCCCATGTCCATTGTGTCCTATTTGGAATCATTGTCATGTTTTGAGAACTTCTCAACAGGCATTTATGTCTGACATTTTCTAGTTCTTGCTTATTTTCAATACAAACACTTGATGCACACATTTCTATTATACTGTCTCTATAACACCAAAGACACACTCATTTCTATTATACTGTCTCTATAACACCAAAGACACACTCATTTCTATTATACTGTCTCTATAACACCAAAGACACACTAATTTCTATTATACTGTCTCTATAACACCAAAGACACTCATTTCTATTATACTGTCTCTATGACACTAAAGTCACACACTCATTTCTATTATACTGTCTCTATAACACCAAAGACACTCATTTCTATTATACTGTCTCTATAACACCAAAGACACTCATTTCTATTATACTGTCTCTATAACACCAAAGACACACTAATTTCTATTATACTGTCTCTATAACACCAAAGACCCACTCATTTCTATTATACTGTCTCTATAACATTAAAGTCACACACTCATTTCTATTATACTGTCTCTATGACACTAAAGTCACACACTCATTTCTATTATACTGTCTCTATAACACCAAAGACACTCATTTCTATTATACTGTCTCTATAACACCAAAGACACTCATTTCTATTATACTGTCTCTATAACACCAAAGACACACTCATTTCTATTATACTGTCTCTATAACACCAAAGACACACTAATTTCTATTATACCGTCTCTATAACACCAAAGACCCACTCATTTCTATTATACTGTCTCTATAACACTAAAGTCACACACTCATTTCAATTATACTGTCTCTATAACACTAAAGTCACACACTCATTTCTATTATACTGTCTCTATAACACTAAAGACACACACTCATTTCTATTATACTGTCTCTATAACACCAAAGACACACTCATTTCTATTATACTTTCTCTATAACACTAAAGTCACACACTCATTTCTATTATACTGTCTCTATAACACCAAAGACACACTCATTTCTATTATACTGTCTCTATAACACAAAAGACACACTCATTTCTATTATACTGTCTCTATAACACTAAAGTCACACACTCATTTTTATTATACTGTCTCTATAACACTAAAGTCACATACTCATTTCTATTATACTGTCTCTATAACACCAAAGACACACACTCATTTCAATTATACTGTCTCTATAACACCAAAGTCACACACTCATTTCTATTATACTGTCTCTATAACACCAAAGATACACTCACTTCTATTATACTGTCTCTATAACACCAAAGACCCACTCATTTCTATTATACTGTCTCTATAACACTAAAGTCACACACTCATTTCAATTATACTGTTTCTATAACACTAAAGTCACTCATTTCTTTTATACTGTCTCTATAACACTAAAGACACACACTCATTTCTATTATACTGTCACAATAACACTAAAGTCACACACTCATTTCTATTATACTGTCTCTATAACACCAAAGACACTCATTTGAATTATACTGTCACAATATTACCAAAACACACTTATTTCACTTATACTATCTCAATTACTGTATCAAACAAGCAAGAAATCATTCATTTACATTTTTATTTCAAAATTCCTTAAAAATAAGAAAGACCTTCCCCTAGAACCATCAATATTTTCACATGTAATTTTTTTAAAAGAATACTTCGTGTACTCTGCATATCAAAACAAAGTTCACATCAACAGAAAATTAATAAATTACTTAAAAAGCAAGCCATCAGTAATCTGAGGTTCCTTAAGGAACCAAATACTGTGTTTGGTTTTCATCTTGCTTACAAAATGTTTTAAAATTGTTGCTCTCCATACAAGTAATTATAATAGTTCACCTTGTTTAAAAAAATAAATCACATATTTGGCTTTTAAGGTTTTATGACTAAGTCAACCATCTACAGTTGTATTTAAGTAACTAGATCATTATACAGTTCACAGATCAAACTACACACAATGAAGCCCATTAGAGGGTACTGTAATATCCTTGTTGGTCCCAGAGTCAATGTAATAAGCTTAACAGCAATCCAGCCCTTACAACTGATAGTGGTTACAGCATTACATCACTGATTCCTAATACCACACAGCTGATATTGGCACTAATTTGTAACACATGACATAATTAGGGTGTCTTACCACAAAAATATCTCTAGAGCTGGTCACAGAAAGTTGTACAAAATAATGTAAAGTACCACTTTTAGTGTTATACTTATTAAAGCACCATCAGTTGTTGCAGCAGTACCAGTTAAGCACCAATAGTGCTGGTCACAGAAAAGTCTAGGAAATTTTCTGTCAAACTACTGACACCATACATATAATGGTGGTGTATGCATGGTAGAGCTTGGGGAGAGGTTTTTTCATCCCTTCCAGAATGCGGGCACTCCTGACAGAGTTACCATGTGTTGGATTGGATTGAAAATTATCACATGTTGTGTCTGGGGCCTCATTCTGATATTTCTGCAGGAAGTTAAAGCCGATTTCACCATTGCCGAAAAAACCAAGTAGTGGGGTCTTTGGAAACATTTTCCTGAAAACTGATGATTCCACATTTTCACAGCCATAGTGACCCTTGCCTCGTCCAAGACAAGCAAACATAAAGGCATAACTCCTTTCCTCTGGCAGGTTACAGTCCTTGAGCTGCTTTAGTACTCTCTCCACTTCCTCAGGTGTGTGGATATCCTCCTTAATCACCACAGATCTCACCTTCACCTGGGGTCCACACAGTGCTACACACATCAGAGATGCTGAGCCAGACTCGCTACAAAACAGTAGTAAAGTTACAACACTATTTCTATTGACAAGTACCATTTTTGTTCACGACTATTTATAACTATAGCTATTGGTGTTTTCCTTTTCCCCTAAATTTTCAAATCTAGGTTAAATGCATGTGACCAATTGTACCCTTTTTATGGGACATTTGATAAGATGGCATCATCTTGCAGGTTCAGACATCATGTAACTTGTGAATTGTCTCCTATTTGGTATCATAGTCAAAGTGAAGGCCAGAGGCTATGTAACCTGACAATAGTGACCTACCAGGCATCATAGCATAGGTAGGGGTCAGAGGTTATATCACATAACACTTATCACCTACCTGGCATCATAGCATAGGTAGGGGTCAGAGGTTATATCACATAACACTTATCACCTACCTGGCATCATAGCATAGGTAGGGGTCAGAGGTTATATCACATAACACTTATCACCTACCTGGCATCCTCATGAGGGTTGGGGTCAGAGGTTATATCACATAACACTTATCACCTACCTGGCATTATCTTGAGGGTTAGGGTCAGAGGTTATATCACATAACACTTATCACCTACCTGGCATCCTCATGAGGGTTGGGGTCAGAGGTTATATCACATAACACTTATCACCTACCTGGCATTATCTTGAGGGTTAGGGTCAGAGGTTATATCACATAACACTTATCACCTACCTGGCATCCTCATGAGGGTTGGGGTCAGAGGTTATATCACATAACACTTATCACCTACCTGGCATTATCTTGAGGGTTAGGGTCAGAGGTTATATCACATAACACTTATCACCTACCTGGCATCACCTTGAGGGTTAGGGTCAGAGGTTATATCACATAACACTTATCACCTACCTGGCATCATCATGAGGGTTGGGGTCAGAGGTTATGAGGTTGTCTACATAGCCACCAGCTATTACAGCATTGTCGTACATTTGTAATAAAGTGTAACCGATCTCTGGGGGACAAAATGGCTCATCACAAAAGAAAAACACTGCTTTCACATCCTTGTCGCTAGGCACAGTGCTGAGTCCTGTCAGATATGTTAAACCAGAATGTGTTTCATCCATTTGATTTGCGTAACTGTATATGTCTACATTAAAAGTGAAAAATTCCACGTCCTCCACATGCGGTAGAAAGAGACAAGACAGAGCCAGCTCACCCTCCACCTCAGTGGTCTTCTTCAGATCTTTACTAGTACCTGAAACAGCATTTAGACAGATAATATATAATTTAATAAATACTGTCATTTGTCCTGTGTAACTTATAAACTATGACTATACATGCCCTTTAGGTAAGTGAGATTCTATCATCCATCCAGCATCAACTTTTCCGTTATAACTTCTTCTCAACAGTCAAGAAGCACTGGGCCATCATATTAGCCCAGTAGCATGTTTGGATGAAAGGCTACAACATCGGCAAGAATGACCTTGGGCAAATATTCAAAACCAAATGGGTCTAATGTCTTTGAATATTCTAAAAGCTTCCTCTCAATAACCACAAGACCCTGAAAAGATATTCAGCTAAAACATGCTGGGATGTACCTGATGCAGTGTTGCTAAGTTTGTTTAAATGAATAACCTTGACCCACTTTCAAGATCACAGGATTAAAAAGTATATTTAACAACTTTTCAATACCCAAGAACCTGAGCAATGATATTGTGCTAGCAGCATGCTCTGGTTGACCAACTTTCAAATTTACACCAATCAAATCATCCAAAATATTTAAATAATTTTTCCATAACCATGAGACTGTGGGTTTCATTATTTCACCTGCAAGACATACTGTAAAGAAGGGATATGATGTTGGTGATGAACATGAAAATTATCTGAATAAATCCTTGGTATCAAGTCTTTTCTGTATAAGCTGTATAACAGGTGAGCAGTACTGCCATCCATACATTGATAACTACCCACAATGTCGTCAATCAACCATAAACTACCCATAATGCCATTTGTCCACCATGCACTGATACCCAAAACCTTAGCCAACTACACACCAAAACCTATCCACCATGTTGTCAATCAACAAATAAATTACCCACCATGTCATCTGTCTACCATGTACTAATACCAAAACGTTAGCCAACTACACACCAATACCTACCCACAATGCTATCTGCCCACCGTGCACTGATACCCAAAACCTTAGCCAACTACACACCAATACCTACCCACCATGTTGTCAATCAACAAATACCTACCCACAATGCCATCTGTCCACCATGCACTGATACCCAAAACATTAGCCAACTACACATCAATACCTACCCACAATGCCATCTGCCCACCGTGCACCGATACCCAAAACATTAGCCAACTACACATCAATACCTACCCACAATGCCATCTGCCCACCGTGCACCGATACCCAAAACCTTAGCCAACTACACACCAATACCAACCCACCATGTTGTCAATCAACAAATACCTACCCACAATGCCATCTGTCTACCATGTACTGATACCAAAACGTTAGCCAACTACACACTAATACGTACCCACAATGCCATCTGCCCACCATGTGACTGATACCCAAAATTTTGTCAGTCAACTACACACCAATACCTACCCACAATGCCATCTGCCCACCATGAGACTGATACCCAAAATTTTGTCAGTCAACTACACACCAATACCTATCCACAATGCCATCTGCCTACCATGTGACTGATACCCAAAATTTTGTCAGTCAACTACACACCAATACCTATCCACAATGCCATCTGCCCACCGTGCACTGATACCTAAAACGTTGTCGGTCAACTACACACCAATACCTACCCACAATGCCATCTGCCCACCGTGTGACTGATACCCAAAAAGTTGTCAGTCAACTACACACCAATACCTATCCACAATGACATCCACCCACCATGTGACTGATACCCAAAAAGTTGTCAGTCAACTACACACCAATACCTACCCACAATGACATCCACCCACCGTGCACTGATACCTAAAATGTTAGCCAACTACACACCAATACCTACCCACAATGCCATCTGCCCACCATGTGACTAATACCCAAAAAGTTGTCAGTCAACTACACACCAATACCTATCCACAATGACATCCACCCACCATGTGACTGATACCCAAAAAGTTGTCAGTCAACTACACACCAATACCTACCCACAATGACATCCACCCACCACGTGACTGATACCCAAACTGTTGTCAGCCAACTACACACCAATACCTATCCACAATGCCATCCGCCCACCGTGCACTGATACCTAAAATGTTAGCCAACTACACACCAATACCTACCCACAATGCCATCTGCCCACCATGTGACTAATACCCAAAAAGTTGTCAGTCAACTACACACCAATACCTACCCACAATGACATCCACCCACCATGTGACTGATACCCAAACTGTTGTCAGTCAACTACACACCAATACCTATCCACAATGTCATCTGCCCACCGTGCACTGATACCTTAAACGTTAGCCAACTACACACCAATACCTACCCACAATGCCATCTGCCCACCATGTGACTGATACCCAAAACACTGTCAGCCAACTACACACCAATACCTACCCACAATGTCATCCGCCCATCATCACTGATACCCAAAACATTGTCAGCCAACTACACACCAATACCTACCCACAATGCCATCCGCCCATCGTGCACTGATACCCAAAACGTTGTCAGCCAACTACACACCAATACCTACCCACAATGCCATCTGCCCACCGTGTGACTGATACCCAAAACGTTGTCAGCCAACTACACACCAATACCTACCCACAATGCCATCTGCCCACCGTGTGACTGATACCCAAAACGTTGTCAGCCAACTACACACCAATACCTACCCACAATGCCATCCGCCCATCGTGCACTGATACCCAAAACGTTGTCAGCCAACTACACACCAATACCTACCCACAATGCCATCCGCCCATCGTGCACTGATACCCAAAACGTTGTCAGCCAACTACACACCAATACCTACCCACAATACCATCCGCCCATCGTGTGACTAATACCCAAAACGTTGTCAGCCAACTACACACCAATACCTACCCACAATGACATCCACCCACCATGTGCACTGATACCCAAAACGTTGTCAGCCAACTACACACCAATACCTACCCACAATGCCATCTGCCCACCGTGTGACTGATACCCAAAACGTTGTCAGCCAACTACACACCAATACCTACCCACAATGCCATCGGCCATCATGCACTGATACCCAAAACGTTGTCAGCCAACTACACACCAATACCTACCCACAATGCCATCTGCCCACCGTGCACTGATACCCAAAACTTTAGCCAACTACACACCAAAACCTATCCACAATGTTGTCAATCAACAAATACCTACCCACCATGTCATCTGTCTACCATGTACTGATACCAAAACGTTAGCCAACTACACACCAATACCCCAATGCCATCTGCCCAACGTGCACTGATACCCAAAACATTAGCCAACTACACATCAATACCTACCCACAATGCCATCTGCCCACCGTGCACCGACACCCAAAACCTTAGCCAACTACACACCAATACCAACCCACCATGTTGTCAATCAACAAATACCTACCCACAATGCCATCTGTCTACCATGTACTGATACCAAAACGTTAGCCAACTACACACTAATACGTACCCACAATGCCATCTGCCCACCATGTGACTGATACCCAAAATGTTGTCAGTCAACTACACACTAATACGTACCCACAATGCCATCTGCCCACCATGTGACTGATACCCAAAATGTTGTCAGTCAACTACACACCAATACCTACCCACAATGCCATCTGCCCACCATGAGACTGATACCCAAAATTTTGTCAGTCAACTACACACCAATACCTATCCACAATGCCATCTGCCTACCATGTGACTGATACCCAAAATTTTGTCAGTCAACTACACACCAATACCTATCCACAATGCCATCTGCCCACCGTGCACCGATACCTAAAACGTTGTCGGTCAACTACACACCAATACCTACCCACAATGCCATCTGCCCACCATGTGACTGATACCCAAAACGTTGTCAGTCAACTACACACCAATACCTATCCACAATGACATCCACCCACCATGTGACTGATACCCAAAAAGTTGTCAGTCAACTACACACCAATACCTACCCACAATGACATCCACCCACCATGTGACTGATACCCAAACTGTTGTCAGCCAACTACACACCAATACCTATCCACAATGCCATCCGCCCACCGTGCACTGATACCTAAAATGTTAGCCAACTACACACCAATACCTACCCACAATGCCATCTGCCCACCATGTGACTAATACCCAAAAAGTTGTCAGTCAACTACACACCAATACCTACCCACAATGACATCCACCCACCATGTGACTGATACCCAAACTGTTGTCAGCCAACTACACACCAATACCTACCCACAATGACATCCACCCACCATGTGACTGATACCCAAAAAGTTGTCAGTCAACTACACACCAATACCTACCCACAATGACATCCACCCACCATGTGACTGATACCCAAACTGTTGTCAGCCAACTACACACCAATACCTATCCACAATGCCATCCGCCCACCGTGCACTGATACCTAAAATGTTAGCCAACTACACACCAATACCTACCCACAATGCCATCTGCCCACCATGTGACTAATACCCAAAAAGTTGTCAGTCAACTACACACCAATACCTACCCACAATGACATCCACCCACCATGTGACTGATACCCAAACTGTTGTCAGCCAACTACACACCAATACCTACCCACAATGCCATCTGCCCACCGTGTGACTGATACCTAAAACGTTAGCCAACTACACACCAATACCTACCCACAATGCCATCTGCCCACCATGTGACTGATACCCAAAACATTGTCAGCCAACTACACACCAATACCTACCCACAATGTCATCCGCCCATCATCACTGATACCCAAAACATTGTCAGCCAACTACACACCAATACCTACCCACAGTGCCATCCGCCCATCGTGCACTGATACCCAAAACGTTGTCAGCCAACTACACACCAATACCTACCCACAATGCCATCTGCCCACCGTGTGACTGATACCCAAAACGTTGTCAGCCAACTACACACCAATACCTACCCACAATGCCATCCGCCCATCGTGCACCGATACCCAAAACATTGTCAGCCAACTACACACCAATACCTACCCACAATGCCATCCGCCCATCGTGCACTGATACCCAAAACGTTGTCAGCCAACTACACACCAATACCTACCCACAATGACATCCACCCACCATGTGCACTGATACCCAAAACGTTGTCAGCCAACTACACACCAATACCTACCCACAATGCCATCTGCCCACCATGTGCACTGATACCCAAAACGTTGTCAGCCAACTACACACCAATACCTACCCACAATGCCATCGGCCATCATGCACTGATACCCAAAAAGTTGTCAGTCAACTACACACCAATACCTACCCACAATGCCATCGGCCATCATGCACTGATACCCAAAACATTGTCAGCCAACTACACACCAATACCTACCCACAATGCCATCCGCCCATCGTGTGACTGATACCCAAAACGTTGTCAGCCAACTACACACCAATACCTACCCACAATGCCATCTGCCCATCATGCACTGATACCCAAAACGTTGTCAGCCAACTACACACCAATACCTACCCACAATGCCATCGGCCATCATGCACTGATACCCAAAACGTTGTCAGCCAACTACACACCAATACCTACCCACAATGCCATCCGCCCATCGTGTGACTGATACCCAAAACGTTGTCAGCCAACTACACACCAATACCTACCCACAATGCCATCCGCCCATCGTGTGACTGATACCCAAAACGTTGTCAGCCAACTACACACCAATACCTACCCACAATGCCATCCGCCCATCGTGTGACTGATACCCAAAACGTTGTCAGCCAACTACACACCAATACCTACCCACAATGCCATCCACCCATCGTGTGACTGATACCCAAAACGTTGTCAGCCAACTACACACCAATACCTACCCACAATGCCATCCGCCCATCGTGTGACTGATACCCAAAACGTTGTCAGCCAACTACACACCAATACCTACCCACAATGCCATCCGCCCATCGTGTGACTGATACCCAAAACGTTGTCAGCCAACTACACACCAATACCTACCCACAATGCCATCCGCCCACCATGTGCACTGATACCCAAAACGTTGTCAGCCAACTACACACCAATACCTACCCACAATGCCATCCGCCCATCGTGCACTGATACCCAAAACGTTGTCAGCCAACTACACACCAATACCTACCCACAATGCCATCAGATGAAGCAGCCAGCAGCTTACACTTCTTTGGCAGCACTTTCCTCACAAGATCACCCACACTACTCAGCATACACTTGGAGGCACGTGGGTGTCTCATGTGATGACGTGTCGGCAGAGTGAGTTGTTGCTCATACAATTGTGACGTACAATACATAAAAAGAACACTTGGTTCTATCATCAGATCCTGTGGAGACAGATAAAATTTCTAATTTTGATTTTTTTTTCATTGAAGACAAGTTTTTGCTTTTTATTTTTAAGTCATATTTAGCATTAAAAAGAAATATTTAGATACACAACAAAGTAACTGACTGTAATCAAACTTTAAGTGATATGAATGTACAACATGAAGAAGCTTTAACTGTCTATATACCCTTTTGTGTGGCTGAAAATGAGCTATACAAACTATAACTTACACGGTGCATGATGTTTGACTAAGTACTAAAACTTTCTGAGATGCTTGATATAGGTAGTACACAGTCCATAAAGAAAAACATAGCTGATGAAAATTCTGACCAAGAAATGTAAACCATATTTATGGTGTATCAATACACATGTGTGATATTATAACTGGGATTAGAACTGACAAACCCTTCTATACAGAATTTGTCCAACATGCCACCATTAATTACGATTTTAAAAATACTTCACCTGTACTGTAGACATTATCACAGCAGCTAACCCATCCAAGATTTCCCCTTCTTCATAACCCACAAAAAAACAGGACATACTCTTGCGCCTCTGTTTTACTGTTTTGGCAATCATATTCCAGGTTTTACAGACTCTGTTGAAAAAACATATTTCATATCAAATTTACTTGAATTATACTTATACTTCACTTCAGTCTAATGAATTAGTGACAAGGTTCACAAATGTTTTACATTCTTCTGAAATCATCAGATACATGCATAAGGAATAATGAATTTTTTTTTATTATTGGGCTAGTGCACTCCCAGCTGGATTTTAACAATTTAACAAAAGCCATTCAGCTGCAAAGCATGGCATTATCCCCAATACCCTGCTGTACAATTTATTAAAATCCATAAACAAATTAATTAGAGTCAATAATCTCTGGTATGTCTGTAACAGAAAGGAGTAATGAAAAACACCCTGTCACTGCTTGGGATTGAACTAGCGACCCTTCGGTCTCTCTCTACCACTCATCTAAAGTGAAATTCCCACTAGCCGAGACTAGTAAGGCAACCTGTACACTGAACTTCTTCATTTATCATGTTATGTACAAGATATACGTATATGTAAATCAGTTGAACAGTTTTCACTCTGAAGCTCAGAAAAGCATGCACACAATGAAATTTCTATTCATACAGATAATTTTTCTATAGTAACAGAAGAATCATGAAAAGGACAATTTTCAAATGGCACAACCTGATGCATGTGTACAAAGGTTTATAATGCAGTTGAATGATGGAGTTGTAGGCAGGCTCAAAATGTGGTGCACACAATTAGGACTCATATTGATTACAATTACATTTAAATAAATGAATCTGAATCATCTGTTACTACAAGAAGATCTCATCGATAAGTCTGCACATGGACAGAAACCTAGCTATGAAATTGAACAATGGTGAATACAGACATTAGAAGATTGGTAGCCGACTGAATCCAGCAACAACAAAACTATAGTTGATTTAAAACACAACAAGACCATTTATAATTGGAGTACGTTACTACATGAGCGAATGGTGTTTCTAGAAGTAAATTTTGATCCCATGGCTGTAAGCACACAAAATGATGACCAACAAAGATGAGGAAGTGGTGAGGTCTGTTCACAAAGGCTTCAGTTTCAGTGTTGATTTCACTAAAACCTTGCCCAGGTTAATGTTAGCAAAACAATATTTGTGTGTTTCAATTGCCATCAAAATCACTACTCTTTTCGTCAAATATTTGGGGGAACTGGCTCTGTTTAAATGTACAAACAGTTGAACGGTTACCTTAACACTGAAACACAGAAATGTTGTCTGGATAACATGTGGTCTATGTTGTTTTAAAACAAGACACTTTTAAACAACAACTGAAGCTGTATGACATTGTCTAGATAACATGTGGTCTATGTCTTGGTAAAACAGAAACTTTTAAACGGATTCAATAATGTGATGTGTCCGCAAAAACAAATCATTTTTAAGTTAAATAAGGTTTGAGTTACTTTGTGCAAGGTCTGAGAATTAGCATTATGTCTATTCATCGTAACTTGCAAGTATACTGTACTGATGTGTTTTACGAAAAACTACCTGGAGCATGCGTTGAGCGATTTTGCCGGTAGATTCCGCAACACCATGCTGGTTATCACTGGTATATTCAAGACGACTGCAGCTGATGCCACAGCAGCATGCTCCATTTTGAGTGTTTACGATTTGCAAACCAACCACGTGACATTCTAAGAATAGAATTCTAAACAGGAACAAAATCTTTACTTTTGCAGAAAAAAATATGTATCATTCATCTTATCTTTAATATGCTTGTATTTATATTAAACAAAATATGAATGGTTAGATTACATCTTTGACATTTAGTTGTATGGTTGCGAATTATGAACTACGTCATTCAAACGTTTATCTGGTAGGGAAAAATTAAAGCGTTTCAATGACAAGTACAACTGGTTACAAGACGATAAAAAATGTTTACAAATGGCTGACTTCCATCATCGGCAGACCGCTATTTAGACTAGACCCCACTTTTACAAGTAGATATGGGGTCTGTGAGCAGTAAATCTAGTCAGGTGCAGGCAGTTCATTTTGAGCCTGAAAGGGACAGACCAGATTTGAGGTATTTGTGTTGATTTGAATAACTAGATTGTTATTCGAAATATACAAGAATTTTTATTGAGTGCCCAGTATGTTAACCTGAAATCATAAAAAATGCATGAACCTACATGAAACATGCGACACAAAATAATATTTAATGAAATGAGACAAAAGACATGGACACTATTTACATATTACCATTGCCAGAATTAAACTAAAACATACAGACATCCGAGACAATAAAAAATAGCACGCAGACATTTTGAAACATATCACTGAGAGCTGAAGCCAAAACCTTTGCATACGAGGCGACTGAACTTGACACCAAAATACATCTGCAGTACAGAAAATGTCTACTAAGCTTAAGCATTTAAACATAAATATGTAAAAGCACAGCAACAAGCATGTGGACATTACAAAGATTCTGGAAACTCCTACCTCAAACACATAGTACACCGACAGTTCAGACCATCACTGATCTGGAAAGGTCTATGAAATTCCAAAAGCCCCCACACAATACTGAGACATTTTCCTTCTGCACAGATACATTTTGAAAAAAATACTGCCTTTGTGTAAAATCTGTTCTAATATTGATAATTGATTAACCTGACCAGGGCAGTCTACCAATACTCACTATAAATATACACTCCTGTCTTCTCTTTCTAAGCCTTTCCAATCTGACACAACATTGAACCACTGAACTGACAGGAAGAACATGCATGTATAGGTATAATAGTATTCAAGATAAACAATCTGCTGAAATTTACCAACAAACACATTATCTCACCATGAACACCACAACATGACATAACTGCACTTCTCTACAGAAAGACAATTTGATGACATTCCCAAAAAGCTTGCCTATATAGGAAGTACACAAAGAGTTTCAAACAAGAGCTGACTAAGTTCACCCGTTTAACAGCAAGGCCAGGCCAGGATTCTGATTTCAAAAGAGAACTTGTAAATGTCTTTTTTTCCAAGTGATTTTAACAAATGTACTCTGAAACTGATCACTTTCTTTTATCTATTTCACAGACCATCTTCTGGCAGCACCAAAAGAGCCCAATCTAGGAACTCCAAAGTTGAGGTATAATATACATGTATTAACACTAGTAATTCAAGTGTCTTTGGGCTGGTTACAATTTCTGAAAATACCACAATGTCTTCATGGTGGTCAAATGAAATAACTTATCTACCAGTGTCATCAAATTCCTCTGTCTATTCTGTATACTCTGTATCTGTACTTAACAGATTTGTATCCCCTTGTCAGCTGGTTAGTACTTAACAGATCTGTATCCCCTTGTTAGCTGGTTAGTACTTAACAGATCTGTATCCCCTTGTTAGCTGGTTAGTACTTAACAGATCTGTATCCCCCTGTTAGCTGGTTAGTACTTAACAGATCTGTATCCCCTTGTCAGCTGGTTAGTACTTAAAAGATCTGTATCCCCCTGTTAGCTGGTTAGTACTTAACAGATCTGTATCCCCTTGTCAGCTGGTTAGTACTTAACAGATCTGTATCCCCTTGTTAGCTGGTTAGTACTTATCATATCTACATAAAATATCATTGTCATTTATTTGTGTGCTGGGTAGATGTTCCCAACAATTTAATACTTGTGATAAATTAAGCCATGAGTTTTGATTTTTTTTCTCTTTTTACAAAGAACGGTGTATTTGAAGATGGGAATGATAAATTACAGGAGGCCCAAAAGAAGATTTCTGAGCTAGAAAAGCAGGTAAGAGTAATGTATTAGAGTACAAATGAATGATCATACTATATATATATACTAAACAAAAAAAGAAAGGTAACACTACTTTATTCTGTGATTAATTAATTAACCCCTTCATAAATCCTTACCAATCATATACGAATAAAGTAATTGATCAATTCTGATAAAACTGCAGTCATGGTTGATTATTAAACTTTGCGTTCAGTTGATTTTATGCGACTGTAAAGGATGTTGGGGTCAATTTCAAAGGTAACACCATTAGTAACGGGTATGGCCACCGTTTGCGAAGTAAACAGTATTGCAGCGTTGTCACATGGAACTCGTAAACCGGCGGATAATTCGAGGAGAGATGTTGTTCCATTCAGTGACCAAGGCTTGGGCCAGCTCCTGCAAGTTTGACAGCTGATTTTGACGTTCTCTCACGCGTCGCCCAAGAACGTCCTAGACATGCTCAATCGGTGACAAATCAGGTGATTTAGATTGCCAATCTAACACCTGTACATTATTCTGCTGCAAGAAAGTTCTGCTGACGTGACTGGTGTGCGCAGGTGCATTATCCTGTTGAAATATGGCGCCAACGCCATGGCGTCGTAAGAATTGCAGAACCACTGGTCTTAAAATTTCGTCCCGATATCGAATGCCGGTTAAAATGCCATTTAACACAACAAGCCTGGTACGAGTCCCCCCACAAATACCACCCCAAACCATTACAATTCCGCCGCCAAAGCGGTCCCATTCTGCGACGCAGCAGTTCGCAAAACCCTCCCCTCGTCGCCTCCACACTCGCCTTCCATCACCATGTTGCAGACAAAACCTGGACTCATCTGAACACAGAACATTGTTCCATTGTCGTAAGGCCCAACGACGGTGAACACGGGTCCAGTTACGCCGATTATTACGGTGACGTCGCAACAAATTGGGTCCAGTGTAGGGACGCCGCGCTTTCAACTGGTAGGCCCTCAACCTGTTGCTGACTGTTTGGGGAGACACACGACGCCCAAACAATGTCCTTGTAGTCTCTACTGCGGTTACGAATCGATTGCACAAGTGTATCAATCGTATACGACGGTCATCCCTGGCGGTCGTTTTACAGGGTCGGCCGCTTCGGGGACGATCGGATGTTGACCCAGTTTGGTTTAAATGACTTACTAACTGGCAAATTGTCTTAACACTGCAACCAAAATGCCGTGCAACTCGACGGCGAGACTCCCTAGGCTGGATCATGCCTACAGCCCTTTCTCTCTGTACTTGTGACAGCCGGGGCATAATGATAAAGTTGATAGATAGCAAGATTGGGTGATTTCTTAGTCCTAAGGATCTAAGGAACAGTTGTCAGTTTGAATGTTTATGAAATTCAAGCGAAGATACAAGTTAGTCGCAGAAAACTTGCGCAGCTCTTTCGCTAATACAGACCTTCACGCTTGAATGATTTTGAAAACCCCCTTGGATTTTGTAATGTAAAACATTACCATTTTCTAATATTGCACAAACGTCATTTTGTTTTCACTCATTTACAGGTATTCGCCAAGGAAACATGTTAACCTTTCTTTTTTTGTTGAGTATATATATAGATATATGTATCAAAACATCTTAATTTACTTTCACTGCGGGTGGAGACATGTTATACATGTCAGCATTCCTATTAAACAAATAATTAATTTTTACATATTAATTTTATTCATTTATTTAAGAGTGTATCGGTAAATGATGGAGGCTAAAATATACACTTTTAATCCAGTTTATCAGCCTTCTTTTACAAGTTTACCTGTCAATCTGCCAATTTGAATGTTATCATAGTTGGCGGAGACAGAGAGTGAGAACCTTGACCTGCAGGACCGTGTACAGGGACTGGAATGTCAGCTTGACCAGGCAGCAAAACTACCAACTGTTCAGGAAGTCGAAGAGCCCAGTGATCTGACAGAGACTCTGAAGGCCAAAGACATGCTCATAGCTAATTCTGAGAAGGAAAAGAAAGCTCTTCAGACAGAGTTAACCAAAATGGTACACATAAGACTTATTTTTAGTATCAAGATTCACTTTCTGAACGGGAATTGATCCTTAGAGACTATACAATCAAGTTTTCTGCCAAAGCAACAAACCTGCTGTACATGCTCCTTTTTGGATTTTTAAGTTTTCCTTTTTTTGTGTTATGTTTTTGCACTTCCTCAGTACACATCATTATCACAGTATCACACTGTAGGATTTCCCATTCTTTTCATTTTTGTATGATTATCGTTTCATTATATGTCCTTGTTAATTGCCAAAACCCCATGTTTTGTTTTAATTTCAGTAAATTACTATCCAATTTTACTTTCATTTTTCACCATAAAAATGAGTGCTACTCTCTACATGTTATGTTTCGTTTAAATTCATCTAAATCAACAGCTAATTATTTCTTTTCTCAGATGAAATCATTTAAGGTCTTGTTGCCTATTTGACATTTTTGATATTAAAAATTTTGTCAGTCAGATTCCCCACCATGAAATGGTGGATATGCTGGCATACAAAAGTTCAGTCAAACTCAATTACATGTGTTTGATTTTTCTAGAAAAACCGATACAGAAAGCGAATCAAGACACTGATGGGCCAGGTAGCAGAGGCCAAACAGGAACAATCTATCCAAATGTTTGAGTTACGAGATGAGATCACTCGGCTACGAGAGGAGAACAGGAAAGTTAGAGGTATATACACAAAATATATCTACTACCATTAGACATAAGAAATCCAGAGGTAACTCCTCACACACTCTTGATTTGTTCCTCTGAGAAATTGAAACAAACTTGTTTATAGACCAGATATATGACCAGCATGATTTACTTTCTGAGTATTTCTAAATAAAAAGATGTGTATAAAAAAGATGCTCAGGTATGTGAGATGTCAGGATGCTGACTTAAGATGATCAGGAATTAGAGGTTGGACATCAGATTTGTATTACAAAACACAGATAACATTACTCACAGTTGGATTTCTTTATTTCAGAAAAAAGTAGTTCTGCCACCAGCAAAACATCAGGTGAAAATGCTGAAGCACCACAGGGTTCAAACAAAATGATGATTGTGTTAGAACTATCCAATCAGGTTTCTGAGCAAGCAGATACCATCAACAAACTGGAGAGAGAAAACAACGAAAAACAGCTGATTATTGATAAACTTTTAGCAGAAACAAAAAATGGAAGTAAAGCAAGTTACTTTTCACTTAATCGTGAAGATTTGGAAAAAGATAAAGAAATAGAGGAAAAAAATTCTTTACAGAAATTATCTTCTGGTTTAGGACAATATAAAAAACCTCCTCTATCAGGAGGGATTGATAGAACAATGAAAAATGACATTGATATTGAGGGTGAGCGAAATTGTTCTGGTGCTAGTAGAGACTCTGGACTGGGATCTGCTGACAAAAATGGTAGAATTCCACCAAAGTTAACTCGAGGTTCATCAAAGCTGTCCACTCTTTCAGACTCTGATTGGGAGTCAGATGAACCGTTGTCTGTACAATCTAAAATTCACAGTGCTCCAGCTGATGTTCAAGCCAAGCGGACAGCATCCAGGTGCAGTACAATAAGCAACAAAACTACAGAAGATGATGGTATATTTGTGGACGATAATGCCTCCATATCATCGCTGACTAAAAAATCAAAGAAACTGTCATACCTTCAACGAAGGTTTCGCTCAGACATTGGACATGGAGACACAACTAGATCACCACTGCCAGCAATGAATGCATTTGAAAATGAGACCAATTCAGAAAATAAACAATTTTTCCTCACCCAGACTGATTCCCCCATCAGCGACTCAGTGCCAATCTACTGAACAAAATATCAAGCTTCGTTCTTCATCCCTACCCTATCAGTCTAGCCCTTTGCCTCTCTCCCCTAGGCTCGTCACCTTTGAACAAACCCCTTTTAGCTTATCCCATGCTACATAATTTTTACTTTGTAGCTAGTTTGAAGATTTTTCTCTAGACAGTCATAATTGTGACTGACATCAACAAAACAAAAAAAAACAATAAGTAAAATACTTGTTTATAAAGCAAACAGACCATAAAAATGTGTTAACATTAGTGCATTTATCGTACTAAAGTGCTTAAATGTCAGTTACTGTGTTACACTACTGGATGTCGTCCGACATGTCCTTACAGAGAGACTGAAAGGCGTAATGTCACACATCCAATATCAAGGAAGACTGTCAGGGATGTGTTCATTTATCAGTTATTAATATCAGTGTTGCCCATATAGTTTGTTTCAGTGTTTTGGAGGTTCTGTAGGTTTCAGCTGTAGGGATTTTACTGTACACCTTTCTCTATTGTTTATTTGTAAATTACAGAAGCTAACAGTTGACCATTAGTGACATCCTTCTTTCATTCAAAGTGTTCCCAAAATACTGAATTAGGCCTATACGCTTCCTGGAAGGATGTAAATTCAAACAACCTCTACTATTTTTTTTAATTTTAATGGTAAGATTAACAATCTTGCTGTAAACATTTTGCCATATTTTGATAAGGAAAATTGATGATATATACATTTGCTAGTATTTAAGAAGTTCGTTTTGTGATGTATTTACAATGCCACTCCAAATGTTCAAGCTAGCTAGTGTGAAGTTTGTTATGAATCAATGGTAATTCTGCTCCAAGTGTGGTTTGTTGGTTATATACAATACATGGTTTAATCTTCCTGTTACAATAACTTATTAAACTGTTGATTTATACTTTAACCCAAAGTGTTTTTTTGTTTTTTGTTTTTTTTTGTTTGTTTACTTTTTGCTTTGTCAAATACTTTCAGCAAATATCTGTTTAGGATTTAAAATGTGAATATTTCATTGATGGAAGTAACTCCAGACTAACGACACATGTGACTCTTCTTTCTGATGTAATAGGAAGAGTAATGAAACAAGAGGCCCATGGGCCTTAACGGTCATCTGACAAAAAGCAAGCCAAACCTAGAAAGTGGGTTGAGGTCATTCATTTGAACAAACTTGGTAGCCTCTCCTCCAAGCATCTTACGGGCCCAATATCAGCACTCATGGACTTTTGCTTGTTGAGAAGAAGTCGTTTGTATATTTTAACATATTTGACCCCTGTGACCTTGAAAGTGGGTCGAGGTCATTCATTTGAATAAACTTGGTAGCCTTTCCTCCCAGCATGCTACAGACCCAATATCGGCACTCATAGACTTTTGCTTATTGAGATGAAGTCCTTTGTATATTTTAACATATTTGACCCCTGTGACCTTGAAAGTGGGCCAAGGTCATTCATTTGAACAAATTTTGTAGGGCTCCATGCCAGCATGCTATGGGCCAAGTATTAGCCCCCTAGGCCTTCTAGTATTTGAGAAGAAGTTATTTAAAGATTTTAACATATTTGACCCCTGTGACATTGGAAGTTGTTCAAGGTCATTCATTTGAACAAACTTGATAGCCCTTCATCCCAGCATGCCACAGGCACAATATCAGCAATCTGAGCCTTTTGGTTATTGAGGAGAAGTCGTTTAAAGATTTCAACATATTTGGCCCCTGTGACCTTGAACGTAGGTCAAGGTCATTCACTTGAACAAACTTAGTAGCACTTTATCCCAGCATGTCACAGGCCCAATATCTACACTCTGAGCCTTTTGGTTAATGAGAAGAAGTTGTTTAAAGATTTTAACATATTTGACCCCTGTGACCTTTAAAGTGGGTCAAGGTCATTCATTTGAACAAACTTGGTAGAGCTCTATGCCAGTATCCTCTGTGCCAAGTATTAGCCCCCTAGACCTTCTAGTATTTGAGAAGAAGTCGTTTGAATGAAAAGTTTACGGACGGCGCACGGCGGACGACGACGGACGAAGCATGATGACTATAGGTCATCGGACCCTTCGGGTCAGATGACCTAAAAAGGCCTGCCACTGGCGGGGCTCAAACCATCCACTGGTGTCTAGCTGGACTCTTAACACTTGACTAAAGGGAAATTCCTACTGGCTGCGGCTGTTATGCTCAACTTCTGTACCACTCCTTTACTGAGCCTTTGACCATGAAGACAACAACAACCATGACAAGATATCTCCCAGGAAGCATCAAAGTCTCCTACAGCTTCTATCCTAGGTGTGGTCAGTGGCACCAAATCTGTAATAGGAAGGAATATTGAAAAATATTTCACCACCGGCTGGGGTTCAAACTTGCGACCCTTTGGTTTCAAGCCGGACTCTCTGTCGTGTGACTAAAGGGAGGTAACCTATACTCTCAACTTCTGATAATAATATTACTTACTTTCTGACATCTATAACTACGCTACCCTATCGTCTAAATATGTGAATACAACTACCTACACATAACCAAATTTTTGCTTTGGATTAAGTGTGGACAATAACCTGTACATTAGTGATAGAATCGAAGAGTAAAACTTCAGTGTGTTTTGTAGGAATAAATTCCAGTCAGGTTTCCTTGTGTCAGTGTATTTTAATAAGTGTATACATACAAAGTGTATTTATGAGGAGTGACAATTATAACCATTGTATGGCTTTTTATACTTAATAACAGATAGAGGTCAGATAGGTAGACCATATTTATCTAGATATTAGATCTGATGGTACAAACAAGTGTCACATAGGGACATAAGACACCGGCACACCAACCACACACAATTCACATGCCCCTATCTATGCTGACCTGTGCGCTAGTATTTGGGTAATTGAGTACATGTAACATAAGCTGTAGATCAACAAAGACCGCTGACCATGCTGACCAACATTTGATCACCTACCTTATCACAACTTAGGAACAGTGTACATACAAATTTCTAACTATACGTTCGTATTTCAAACTAAATTACTCCATAAAATTACTTTGCTAAAATAACTTATAATGGTTCAGATTGTCGCTGTATAATAATAAGGCATGAGTTATTGATAGTTACAAACATATCTATAGGGACAAACATATATAGCAATCATTTTGAAATTTAAAAAAAAACTCCTAATGGAGTGGGAGGGAACCCAACATCCTGGTTGATTGCATCTTGAAGGAATCAAAGATGGATACCAAACGGCATTCAATAAATGACAGAGAAGATGGAGCACCAACATCTGAATTCCGTGGTTTTATTATTGGCTTACATGTTTTAGCTAGTTAAGCTAGCCGTCATTAGAAAGAACGACCATTATGTAATTACAATTTTATCACATGTGTTAATAGTACGGTCAGAATGTGAAACTGCCGCCGGCCGACTTTTAGACATCGGCAGATTGTTAAGGTTTCCATGCCATCGCCCGATTTTTGTAGAAATTAGATAAGTAGGCCGATACTATTTTCAGATAACTTTATTATCCAAAATGATGGAGGTCTGAAACATACAAAAAGTAACATTGTAAATAAAATCAACTATCTGTTGGTAAGACATAAGTAATAGACTAACAAGTAAATACATAATCCTCTATCCCTCCCCGAGTCATTTATAAGTATTTTAAATGACTGATTTAATGTTTTTGTCCTTGTGGGAAATATGGATGGAATAAGTCTATTACTGTTCATTGTCACTGAAAATGTGATATGCCTTAACACTGTTATTACATTGTGAGATCAAATTATGTATCAATTAACAGTAAATGTAACATACAAAGAAAATGAAATTAAAATGATAAGGTACTATTTGTACATTAATTAAAAAGTAGAAAAGTAGAACTGTCATTGGGCAGACTACCCTCCAGTTCGGGGATTATTCTGCCCCATTTAATGCTCATAATCACTAAGCCATTTTGGCTCTTGTCGTTGTCGATTAGGACGTCTTGGGGTAAGGTCAACGGATAGTTGCTCTGGTCTGTTTGTCACGATCCTCCTGGGTGTGACTGGTGTTGCAGGTGAGGTAGTTGGAGGATGTGGTGACGGCGGTAGCCTGGGCGATGCTGGAGAGGGAGACGAATTAACCATTGTGGGGATCCGTCCAATGCCAAGGGTGTTTGCGGTTTAGATTGGACTGTATGAGACGTCCTATCCTGCACAGGAGGTGGACTGTTACTCAGATCTTGTGAAGCTGGTGCACGCTTACTGATCCCTTGTGGATTGATGTCCAGACTGGGGCTTCAAAGGATTTGCCGGGACCACTGGAGTTCCGCTCGTCGGTGGTGTAAAGTTTGGAATGTCCCTTTTGAAGTAATGTTTCAAGTCCTGCTCTATGGATTGCTTTTCAGGGGGAGAATACACAGGTGTATACTTGCGTAGAAACTTTCGATTGCGAAGCGTGATTCTGCCCGACCCGTCGATACGTACGACGTATTGGTCATATTGGTGAACCTCTATAACAGTTCCGGTTTTATCCCATTTTCTCGGATATGGTCCAGTTTGGTTTTGAATCCTGATGAGGTCTCCAACTTTTAGTGGCAGCAGACGCTTCGTATGTTCAGCTAAGCGTTCGGCGGTCTTCATGTGTCTGATACGTAAAGCCTCTTTTCTCAGGGTAAGCGTATCACTCCATGTCTCGTGTGGCTTATAGCGGCCTGGTAAGATTGGGATGAAGTCTCGAATGGCCCGCCCAAAAACACACATTGCTGGCGATAATTTCGTATCCCTGTCTGGAGTGTTACGGTATTGCAGCACTGCACGCTGGAAGGAGTCTGTGTCCAATTCACCATTTGGACCAGTGTTGTTTGTGATCATGCGCTTCACGCCAACTTCTGCTCTACAATTGCTATGAGGAAAGGCTACAGAAGAAAGCCTGTGGTGCACACCCCATGTTTTTAGGAAATCTCTGGTTGTTGAGGCTGTAAATTCCGGGCCGCCATCAGAAGACAGTTCATCTGGTATTCCAAATGTGACGAATGTGCGGCGTAAGCAATCAACAAGGCCAGATGCGCCATCTTGTGCCCTTTCAACAATTGGCCAATTTGAGTATCTGTCTACAATCACCAGGTAATTACCGCCTTTGTAGTGGAAAAAGTCGGCACAAACACACTGAAATGGATGTAAGGGGTAGACAGATGGAGTTGGCGGGGCGCTGGGTTGGGATGGGGCATTTCTGTTGCAATGGTTGCATGAGTTTCTAAGCTTGGTGATGTCGTTGCATATGCCGGGCCAAAACACAGATGTTTCTGCTCTTGACATCATGGATGAAGTGCCTTGGTGGGCTGAGTGTAGCGCTGTCAGCACGTCTGTTCTCAATGAAGGTGGTATCACTATTCTGTCCTTATATATGATGACTCCATCGATAGTGGAGAGGTTGTTACGGAACTGATGATATTCTCTCAGGGGAACTGGAAGATCGTTTCGTGTTTCTGGGATGCCACTTTCAATCATCTGTACGAGCTGGAACATGTACTCGTCGCTTGTTGTGGCAGTCCTTATTCTATCCCAGGTTATACACTGAAGTGAGGTGACTGATGACAATGCTGTCGAGTAGAAGATAGCTTCGCTACTTTTCAATGGGATTTCCAGTGTATCATCTGCGATTTTGTGATTATGTGTTTGGATGGTATGTTGCGCCTCATTCTTGTTGCAGATATGAACAGAAGCAATATCATCGATTAAAACCATGCTATCAGATTTCCCAACTGGGTGACGAGAAACGGTATCAGCAGCTCGATGTTTGGCGCCGGGCACGTGTAACATTGTGAATTTGTAACGTAGAGTTTTCTCTTTTAGGTTACGAAGTCTT